ACAATAACAAAAGGGATAATAAGAATAAGAACAACAAGAGAAAGACAAGTGTATGACTACAAGAAAATGAATAGTGTAAAATGAAAAGAGTGGAGGGAAGAAATAGAGAGTATAAGGAAAAAGAAAGATCAACAAGAAACCATAGAAAGCGAAGGAACAATATTAGAAACAAGCAAGAAATGGCACATAATAAAGGAACGGTGGAAGCAGGCAGCAGAGATAGTTATCCCAAGGAAAACCCTGAAATCAGAAGTGCAGGAGTTCAGCAAAAGGATAAAAACAGCACAGTTCACAGTGTTTAGGAAATTAAGCAAGGCAATAGAGACAGCAAAAGAAATAGAAGAAAATGAGAAAGCAGGAAACAAGAAAGGAGCAACAGAGAAAAGAGACAAGATCAATAGATACATCAAAGCACTGCCAGTACCGCTCCTTCCCTACTCTGTCTTTGTAACTCTTTTCTCGTCTTTTCTCCTCCATTTATATATTGTTCTATTATTTTTAGATCTGTTATTATTTCGACCTCCCCCTCTACATCCAATTGTCCTATGCCTGCTATTATTGTTTCCAGTTCTGCCTGTGACGCGCTTTGTGTTATATTCTCCCAAGTACCTTTTTTCACTTCTTTCCCGCTTTCAAAATATTTCCATACTCCTGTACCCTTTTTTCCCTCCTTGTTCCATGCTGCGTCTGTATATACTTTCTTATCTTTTTCCTCTTCTATTCTCTTCCGTTTTTTCATATTTTTTCTAATTTCTTTTGTTCGTAATTCTTCCCTGGGTTCTTGTGTTCTAATCTTGATGTGCTGGGTTACTCCTTTTTCTTCTATTTTGATTTTCTTGACTGCTGGGTACCACATTTCTGCTATTTTTTTATCGAATAGACACACTCCCTCTTTATTGTATTCATCTAATATGCATCCTTTGCATTCTTTTAGATTCTGATGTACTCCCTGCTCTTCATAGTGCATAATTCTTGCCCTCGTTTCATTGATTTTCCTTTTCTTTCTTCCCACTATTACTCCTTCGCTGTTTCCAAATGCAATCCATTTAATTCTTTTCATATTTGTTTCTTCGTTCTTTCTAGGCATTGCAATATGTTTCCAGTAATTTAACTGCTTCACTTTTCTTTTAGTTTCTTTCGGATTTCCTCCCAGTTTTCTTCCATTTCGTTATACCATCTAGGCTTTCTTCTTTTCTTGCCGTATCCTGGGTTGATTCTCTCCCATCTCATTAGTTCTAAATTGCCATCTTTTATCAATTGTTCCATATACAATACATTCCATTTCCTTAAATTCTCCCTCTGCTCTTTATAGGTGTGTTTTTCTAGTATTTCTTTTATTGTAACTTTTTCTCCTTTTCTTTCCATTATATTGTCCCATCTTCTAGTTTCTATGGTGAATCCTTGTGTCTGACACTCGTATATCATATCTGCCAAAATGCCTCTTTTCCTTTCTTTTTTTAGTTCCTTCCTATTTTCTGTGACTTTTTTAGTTAACCATGTTTTTTCTTGAAGCTGTGCTAATCTTATTTCTCCTACATCTCCAAGTATGCCACTGTCTTTCATAATCATTTCTAATCCACTTAGCCTTATCAATACTATTCTTTCCTTTACACTCTTGATATTGCTTAATGTTTGACACCTTAGCACACTGCTAGGAAAGCTGCTCGCTAGACTGTTCTTTTGTTTGTACACCCCATCTACTGATCTTTTCCATTTTACTATAGTGCTTTCTTTTATATAGGTATTTGTTGCTAGATATTCGATTGTGGCAGGATCACTTCATTTATTAAATATTTAACCACTTCTGCTGATATCTTTTTTCTTCTTATTGTGTTTAGGTTGTATGTAATTATTTGGTTCATCTTCCTTTCTTGCGTAGCCTTGCCTGGTTTACTTTGTAAGAAATCTTTCTGCTTTTTCTTTTTTGCTTGCTATAATTTGTTTACCTATTAGGTTTACCTTCGGTTCCTTCTTTTTTGTATTGAGTATTATTAACTTTGATTTTTCTGCATTAACTTCGATGTCATTTATGTAGTAAAACTTCTCTGCTATTTGCAAAATTTTCTCCAATTCCTTTTTATCTTTTGCTACCCAAGTTGTGTCATTCATGTAGACTAGGCTTCTTAAGGTTATCTGTTTTTCATTAATATCGCTTGTACTATAGTCCCTTATCCATTTAGTACTCATGCTGTATCCATATTTTGCTTTGTTTATTTTACTGATCAGCGGGTTGTAAAATATTTTCCACAGCAATGGTGACATCGGATCTCTTTGATCTAGGCTATCTTTAATTTTATACTCTTGTGTTATTCCATACTTTGTAATCACATCTGCCAATCTGTTCTCTCTCATTTCCAATACTATCTCTACCAATTTATCTGGGAATCCTATTCTTTTTAGGGTTGTTTCCAAGGCTCTTTTTCCTACTGAGTTGAAGGCTTTCTTGATGTCTTGTAGTAGGATCCACATTTCTTTCTTGTTCACTTGCATGTCCTTTATCATGCTTTGTAGAATTATTCTTGGTTTGGTTGTAGTTTCTCCTGTTGTACCTGCCTAGTTGTTTTCTTGCAGAGTTTTATTCTCCGTTAAGACTGCATCCATTCTTTTCATAATTATTTTGGAGAAGATTCTTCTTCCTGTTTCTATCAATGCTATTGGTCGTAGTTTGTCCATTTGGCCTTGCCAG